TTAAATATGCTTTGAGCCAGCAGTGAATCATCCCTGGCAGGTAAGAATGATATTAATTTATGACATGCCAAGTGCAAGCAGATCTTTTGGTGTCAGTCCAATGGTTTTAGCCTTATTAACACACGGCGATGGCTCAGGTTGCAGCTGTGCACATTAAACTCTGGCAAGTGGCATTTTAAACAATGACAAACTTCAGAACAATCACTCCACACATGGAGCCAGGCCAGGCAAAACTGGAGGGTGGCAGAATAAAGGTCAAGGGGGGAACCTGTTTGTCTGGGAGAGGAACAGGTGGCTCGCTTGGGTTGCTGCAGGGTCTTTAAACTGTCTGAAGGACACAGTCAGGGATCATTTTAACCCATTAAGCTGCTTAAGCCTTCCCTTACACCAGTTTGAACTTCGAGAAAGCATTAAATCTTAAAGAGCTTAGTAATACATCTTTAGGAAAGCTCTCCCCTGTGCTTATGCATCCAGAGTGCACATGCTGCACTGTGCACAGGCACATCCTTCCCATGACAGCAGGACCCTTCTGGCAGCTGAGCCAAATCTGAGCAGCTAGAACACAGAAAGCTTTAAAGCCCTGCACCAGAGCAGAATGTCACACTGGGACACAGATAACAAGGGGAACATGTCCCCATCACCACCGTGCCACTCAGCAGGCCCAGGGACACTGTCAGAGAGAAAAACATCTTCTTACCAGTTCCTCCCTCACCAGCTTCACACGGGACACAGAGCAAACTGCAGCTGCCAAGGCTTTGGGTTGTGCCCATGGAACTCAAAACCACATCCAGCAAGGGGGGCTGTGACAGACAGTGACTTCTGAGGGCAACTTCTTACCTTAACACCCAGGCAGAGCAAAGTCAGTCCAAACCATTCCTGCCAGCTGTGTTTGCACCAGAAAATAGGATGATGGAGACATAAAAGACATTTTCATGGCAGGAAACATAAATATACCATGCCATGTTTCAAAGCTGTATTTCTCAATTTGAAAAACATCAAAATAGGTTTTTTTAAAGTGTCAAAAGCCAGATGTTTCAGAATAAAACAGCAGAGTAAGACCTGACATGTTACAATGTTTCCCAACGCAGTGCTTCCAAACCAGTTGTTTTCTCAATTTTTCATTTGCCCCCCTCTCCACCCAGTCCTATCCTTGCAAGCAGAATTTTTATTTTCCAACCAGGTACTTCCCAAAAGAAAGAATTTTGAGCAATAAATCAGATCTTGTTAAATATATACAAGGATTTATCTACATACGAGATCTGATCCAAAATAGAACAGGGTGTAAATTTATAAAGAAATTGTTCTCTCAGATTTAAATACCAGGTGTGTGGATATATTTATTCCCAAATGAAGTTAAAGGAATTAAATTCTTTTGTAATAAGGCACTTTTATTCTGGAATAGGAGCATCCACATATGAAATTAATCAAGAATAGCTAAAGCCACAGTAAGGTCTCAGGCTACTGACTGTAAGTGAAAACAGTAAATTCATTCTGCCTCTTGCAGTTTCTTGCTACATAACACACCAGATCCCCCTGGATAAATGTTCTGTAAGTAAAAGACCAGTCCCAGCATGTCTGTGAACAACTCATGATAATACTTCAATGAGATGGGCTGGAATCAATATTTTTCATCTTGGCAGCTCGGGGCCAGCGAGCAGGAGCTGGGCAGGGCTGGCAGCCAGCGCGACACTGGCGCGGCAGGGAGGGCAGCTGGCACAGCACTGACCTGGAAAGACATTTCTAGCTAGTAGGTATCAGTTCCTGCACCAGCTGAGCCTCCTGGAGGGAGGAGGGAAAAAGGAGATAATTAAATAGAGGTTTTCAGTTCGAACCTACTCCCAAGTATCTTTAAGGGATCAGACAGAAGTTTGGCTACAGTTTACACCGAGCTACTGGAGAAATTCGAGCCTCCATGTTTGATAATGGAGCTTAAGAGCCAGGATTAGATACTGCTAGATCTAAAAACCTGATACAAAGTACTGATTTAATATACATTAATTAGTTAGTTCAAGTTAGATATCCCTCAGTTCATCTGCAGCCAGAACAGAAGACACATTTGTGATCCAGGTCACTGTGCAGAAATGTGATTAGGTGGTGTCTCTGATGGAGCAAAAACCTGTGTCACTGCAGGTAACAAACTGCTTTAATATTGGTCATAACAGGACCACAGCAAGGGTCTGCAACCAGAGAGCAGAACAACATTTTCTGGTCAGGAGTGAGGACTGAGGGAGGAAGCAAGAGCTATTATTTACAACTATACAGGCAGAGAAGCAGAAGAGGCATTACACTGTGAAGAGTAATGAGCATGTCAGAAGTATAAAATCTATCTTAAATCTACAAAGATGTAAGATATAACTAAACTCCCTGTCAGACAGTTACTCAGTTTTTATAGAAATAAAGATATAGAACAGTAAGGTGTGAATATATTAATCTTGGTACTTTTAGACATGGAGTTCTCTACTGCCTGGACAATCCACTGTTTTTCATCCTACTTTAAAAGGAACACTTACCTGGAATTCATATAGGGGACCTTGCCAGCCCTATTCCAAGCCAGGTTTTCTCAAGAAAGTTAAAGCTGTTTTTCTTGGTAACTCTTCTCTTCATGTATCATCTCCATTGATCCAGCTTTTTGCAAAATGAAATTGGAGAGCCAACAGAGACACAGCAAGATCAAAGGCGGCCAAATTCAAGTCCATGCTCAGACAGCTTTGGAACGTCTGTGCCAGCAAAGCAATCACAGTTTTCATGAACTGACCCAACAATATTCAGCTTGATTCTTCTAATTGTTTTAACAAAAAAAATCGATGGTTAGTATTCTGCACTATAAATGAAACCTAGTAAGATTGAAATAATAGCTACAAGTGCAGAATTTTAGGAGTTCAAAGCACAACAAAACCAAAACTCGGCTTATTTGATACAATTAGTTAATATTTACCCCTAGAAGAAACACTGGTTATCTTCTTAAATTTATTTTTTCATGAGATCCAGGCAATGTCATCAGGATCTTCAGACCATACCTCCATTTTATGATGAATTATGAGCTCTCTTTCTTATTCCTAAACAAAATGTTAGTGTTCCCCGTGGACCCTATGTGCACCAAAATGGAATTTAACGTTTTTTGGGTTTTTTTGCTTTCTTAATCAAAGAGCTTGATTTGCTGTTATAACAGTGCACTTAGAGAACATTCGTGGTGCTGATCAATAAACAAACACAGTATTGCATTTTTCATGACAAGAAAACTTCCTCAACTGATCTTGAGAAAAAAAATTAACCCTCCTAATAACTTTGTGAGGTTCACAGCAAATGACAGCAGAACACCTTGGGGTGTCCTGTGGCAGGGCCAGGATTTGGATGATCCTGACAGGTCTCTCCCAGCTCAGCATATTCTGTGATTTCATGGCCAGTCCTCATCACGTGGCCATAGTCATATTTAGCACCAGGACAGGGCTCCATGAGTGGCAGCTTTCTCTGGCAGAAAGAGCCAGTCAATATTTACATTCCTCATGAACATACAAAAGAGCATCAGGGTACTTGAGAAATTAGCCCTTGATTGCCACTTGGAAGGCATCATCAGAAAGTCAAATCACTTCAGCACCTCCAACAACAGAACCACTTTCCTTCTTGAGACTCGAGATCTCTCACAGATGTGTCAAGGTCTTTGCCTGGGAGCAGGAGATGTCTGAAGGGCATGATGGGTGCTGAAGCAGCCTGACGTAGGGGTTTATTATTTAAAATGTGAAAAGATAAAAAAAGCCTATGGTCAACTCCTGCTTGCTTTCTTGCTGAAGCAGCAGACAGAAATCTGATAGTCCTGAGCCAGCTACAGGGAATGCTGGTGGGATTCTTCAGTGCAGGACAGAGAGGGTTCTACTCTAATATTAAATTGTTGCTGAAGTTGGGGAACATAGATGCAGTGGGTTCAACTCGGCTCTCAAGTTCCCAAAATGTCATCACATAGAACAGCCCTAAATCTTGGCTTAGAAGTCACAAAACATCCAGTGCCTTTCCAAGTGAGATCTCAGCTCCTCTCATTTCCTGCATACAATAGCATTATTCAGTCACTGAAGTTTCCACTTAGCTTGCATTTATGCCAAGTACTTTTAATTGCAAAGGAAAAGGATGTTAAGCTCTCCCATTTCTTTCTAATTCATAAGGGACACATCAGTAGTTGGTAAAAATTATAGGTTAAGGGTCATTCTCCCATTTATTAAGGGACTCACATCCTCCTCCTGCTGCCAGGCAAACAGAGGTTACCTCCATTGCAAGGGTAGTCAAAGTTACCTTGTCACTTGTAAAATACAAAAAAGGCAAATCATTGTAAATAAATTACCAAACAGGCTTCAGGGAAGTCTGGACAGCACCTAAACCTGCAAGGTTTGTAACTGATCTGAGTCGCTTTGGCCACCACAGGTCTCACTGGAGAATGGATACTGAGTATTCACCCAACAGCCAGAAATTCAGACAGCATGCAGCTCAAAGAACTCATCACAACACGAAGAGCAGCAGCTTTGACTGAAGCAAAATGCTGCATAGCAAGGAGTGAAACAACTGGAAAAACAGATGCTTAATTTCTACTTATTTTTGGCAGCCTTGTTCCTATGGTATCTGTTAAATGAGGAAAAAAAGCCGCTTAGTAAGGAATCCATGAACCACAGCCTCATCTATGGACTATCAGGGTGGCAGTACAGCCCTACTGAAACTTATTTTCCTTTTGATCAATCCGTGGAAGGGTCTGAAGTAATGTTTCCATATGGGTTTTGTTCCTATTATGCAAGATCTGATGAACTACATTGTCTGAGACAAAGGGATTAAATGAATTGAAGTGGTGTTTTGGGCTTGGGAGTACTTTTAGTGTCTTCACCCCACCTCTTCAGCCTTGGGACAAGAGACTTAATAGCTAATTACAATGCAAATGAACTGAAATATAAATGAAGTGCTACATTCTAACATAGCTTAATAGTCCCAGGAGCAAGAATTTCATTAATTTGAATGAACGGTAATTCTATCCAAAAATATAGTTTATTAACAAGCACATACAATAATTGCACCACTAACTTTAAATAAACCTTCTAGCAAGCTCACCTTCAGTGACATTTGGTTAATACAGAGCAAGAAAGCAATGCACATGTGCTTTCCACAGACACAGAATGAACTCAGTTGCAAACCAAATTCAAGTTATAATCCAAGAAAGGGCACATAAAAGCAAAAGCAATGAAGACTTCACATGAACATTGCCATTTCTTTCCACCAGACCTTCGGTCTCTTACAAAATAGGTCTGTAATACAAAAAAAGTAATAAAAACTCTGGATTCAATTTATTCAACCTCTTCTATCACGAGTTAACTATAACATTTTGCAACAACTTGAGTAGTATTAAGAGGGAGGTAAGAGGCAAAGATAGGTACAAGGTACGTCCTGGAATTATGGAAGTGCAGCTGCAGACAGAGCAGCAGCCACGGATTCTGGTGTTGTCCCAGTTTTTGCAAGAAATACAAAGATGGTAACACACATTCTTCCCTCTCATCAGTTAAAACTTGACCCATCATCCACTGACATCAGGGCAAAAGATCTTCTCTTATCAGTGGGACTCTGGTAGGGCCAAAGTGGCCTTCAAAAGCCAGTTGTCCTCTCTAGTGACAGGTTTGTCACTCTCCAGTCTTCAGCTGGGCTGTGATGTCAGTAGAACCTGACACGCTGCTCCCACATGGGTGTTAGAACAGTCCTGTGCTCCCTTCAATGCCAGAAAAAGGGATTCAGCAGAATTCAATCTGCAGGAATTGAAGCCAACTTGGCAATAAACAGCACCACTCTGCTCAGAGCAACATCTCAACCTCACCACAACCAAGTAAATAGGAGGTTTGTAATGAACCGTGGTAAGAGCCCAGGAGAAGCATCGAAACAGAAAAATACACATTTCTTTATATTAGACCTTGCTCTTTGCACGGGAAAGGGCATTTCTGATCCTCTGAGGGATGATGAGGAAGGTTCCCAAGAAGAGTGCTCCAAAGGTAACAGTGTCCATGGCAAAACCACTCAGAAGGATTTTTAAACAAAGCCAGAGATTCTTCCGTTTCCTTTGCAGCAGAACAAAAAGCTACCTCTATATAGGGGTTTGAATTTTATCAACATGGTGCCTGTTATCACAAACAAAAATTATGCCTGTGATCCCTAACTATAATGGGAGTAAATCTTTACTTAAAAAAGATTTTACAGCAGTATCAATGGGTTAAAGACTTATCTCATTCTCCTCCTGCACCTTTCTCTTTGTAATGCCTTGAGAAAAAAACCCCAAAAACTTTTCCTGCGCCCAACCTAAGCTAAGAATTAAGATCTACTGTTAGGACAAAAAACCTTCTTAAATGGTCATTTTTTTCAAAATCTGGAACCTGATTTTTTTTTTGTAGTTTACAGAAAAAATTACCTTGGTGGGAACTAACCTGACAAACCAGAGCAAGAAGTCAAAGATTACCCAGGAACAAACCAACTAAAGAGAAGTCCAAGCATTGCGGCACTTGGAAGAATCAGTGATGCACAGTTCAGTCTGCAACAAGCTCCCTCTCCCCTCTGCAATTTGCATAGCTGGCTCTTATGCTTGCTGGTTATGAAATACTCTTACAGCAGAACAACTTTAGAAAAATTTGGACAAGTGAGAATGGAGTTATTTTAATCTAGAAGAATATCACCCAAAGATACAGATGAATACAAACACTGTTTGTTCAAATAAAAAAAAAAAACCCAAAACATCAGACATGAATTTAAGCTGCATTCTCATCTATATATCAGCCTTCCCCTTCTTTGTTTTATAAAAATAGGGTATGACATTTCAGCTTCAATTGCATGTTTAAGTCATTTATTTATTGAACATTCCATTCTTGAAATATCATCTATTAAAGTGTTAGTTAAGATTCATCCTGCTTATAGAACAGGTTAAATTTCTTCTGAACTGCACTTGGAGACAATAATAAAGAGACTGATACAGACTCAATAAGAAATAATTAGATTATGGGGAGAAGAAAGAAAATAATAAATAAATAATTATAATAAAATCAAGCTTCACTCTTCTTGACTCCTAAATAAACAAATGCTAATGTCTTTTAGGTGATCACAACCAGATTTAACTCCAAAACAGTATTTACAGACTGAATTCAGATATAAACTATGATTTCAAGTCTACAACCTGCTATAAAAAGAGGACAAAAACTTCCAAGAAAACATCTCTTTCAAAGACAGAGGAAGCCACAGTAAAAATTAATACTGAAAATTCCTGATCAGAGTATTGTATAAAAATTAACATCTGTAACATTACCATAGCTTTTATCATCTGTTTTTAAAAAAGTGGATTCTGTTCTACACTTGCACATTTCTGATACAGATATAATTGTACACGGGCAATTTACATCTCAGCTCTGAGATACTGAAGGAAAAGGATAAAACTGAAGGTGAATTTTGCTGCCTCAGCAGTGAACCCTGTGGGGTGGTTGGGCCTGCTGTGATTCCAACATGGAAACAAACCTGGGAAACGACACAGATAGAAATCCAAAAGCACCAAGGCTGCCTGGACATGGCTCTTTCCCCTACTGCAAAGCAGATATAATAAATGGGATTTATTTTAGAAAGTTTCACAATTCTTAAGCAGTAGATGATACTTGCATTCCTGAAGGATTAAGTTCTACATTTCTTAATGCTACTTCAACTCTCTAAAACCAACCCAATAAAACCAGGAAAGATTTTTACAAGTAACATGCACAACCTAAAATTTCCACCCTCAAAACTGCCTTTTTGGTACTCTTTTAAGCTCTTAAGATACTCTATTTATTGAAGAGATGCCAGAAAGCCTGCAGAAGGAACAAATGCTTCTTTGGCAACAGGAAAACATTTTAATGCCTCCTGCCTTCAAAGTACGCACACCTTACCACAACATATGCTAATACACTACCAAATAAGTCTCTTTATCTTGCCATTTTTATAACAAACTGTTTCATTCATATCTATTTCAGCTTGTAACTACCTACTGCACAGAGCAGCACACTGTGCTAAATCAACAAGTGGTTTATACTGAAGAAATAGAAAGTAAAAAAAAAAAATTATTTAAAAATACTATATATTCAAGAACAAATCAAGAGGGGCTAATAATCTAGAAAGTGTTTTAGTATAAAATCAAAATGTTTACTCACGCAGGCATTTTGGGCCTTTTTTCCATCCTTTGTTCTTTATTTAAAATGAAGAAGATGTAACAAAAAAAGATTCCCACAAATATGATAGTGAGTGGCAATTTGGACAAAATCTGCCATTAATGTATGAAAACAAATGTGCCAGCCCTTCTGTGCAGGTATCCATGTGTGCAAATATACCTGTGCTTGGAGATACACACCTGCTCCTGGATTTCCAACCTTCTCCAAGGCACACAATCCACTGACACACTTGGACAAATCAGCCAAACACTGAATCTAGAAAAAGATCAAGACCAGCTCTTTGTAGATCTATAGCCTGCAACTGTAAAAATATAATAAAGATTTACTATCATATTACTAGTTGGATTTTTTCAAAGGGAAATTGATACTTAAAAGTTGTCTTCTTCCTGAAGAACTCAATGGAACAAAAGGAGAACTATTTCTAAAAATAAAGCAATGAAAATAAAGAAAACACACCCTCAAACATTGGAGCAAGAGCCCTTAGTGTAGGCATCAGTACCAGCCTTCACTGAAACAGGATCTTCAGTCTCCAGACATATCCTAGTTACTCCAATTAAACCTCTGTGGTATTTAATGATACTAGAAAGAAAGATCTGCTTTTAGCATGTGGATTTAAATACCACAGAGAACTGTCAAAGACTTGGTATACAACTGGTATAACTTTGCTGGGGTAAACATTAAGATGAGAGGGAGAAAATAAGGCTGAATTCTATGGAAAAGTTACTGGGATCCATGAAAGGTTTCTGCAGGCTTACAGCAATACACCTGATGGCAGCTCTAGAAGGGAAGAGGATAGAGATGAATAAGTGAAAATTTGTTTGCCATAACTGAACTTTTTTTTTTTTTCCCTGTTAGAGGAATGCAACTGCCTCAAATGATGCAATGGGTCAACCTGAAATCAGGCACATTTGAAAAATACTGGAAATCCTGAAGTCAGAGCTCGTGAATGTGTTTGGTTTGTGTGCTGCCTCGGAGGAGAGAGAAGTTAATACTTTTAAAAGCTCGGTATTTACACTTCTGAAAAGTTCCAGCAGTTCATCCAGATTTGATAGGGCAGGATTTAAGTGTCTCAGAGTGTTCCTGACTGGGCACTTCTGCTGCTTTGGCACACACACACACACGGTATTCCAGTACCAAGGGGACACGGCATCAAATGCAGCTTTACACTGGCAGCACTCCTGAGGAGGTTGAAATGTTTATCAACTCAGTAGGTCAAAAGTCTGCAGACACTGGGTGGAGCAGCAGTATGCCACAAAACTAACAGTTGTCCTCCTAGGAAAAAGAAAAAAAAAAAAGAGAGGGGGGAACAGTTGTCAGTAAAAATTAAAGCTCCTGGCTCCATTCCACACAGACAATGTGCTGGTTTGGAAAATACAGGATTAGCCCATCTCCACAGCCCAGAAAAAGCACAGGTTCATTTGCTGTCTCTGACACCAAGGCAGGGAAACACGGCAGGGGTTCTCAAAACCTTCCTAGTTTCTTATGCACTGGCTTTAGAGCAGCAGTATGTGGTTTTTCTCTCTGAGCAGGGTGTGGCTGAGTGTCACAGCCAGCAGGTTTAGCAGCTGACAGGAAAATAGCTGGGCAGCCTGGGCCCTGCTCGTGTGTTTCTTAAATTACTGCTTGTAGGCATGAAATGACTGAAGGGCAGTGTCCTCCCTGGTTAGCAGAGTGAACAGGCAGATCTTCAGAAAGGATGAGTGACAGGCAGTGCTGTCACACCGTGCCACGCAGAGCAGCAGGGATGGCACTGTGCAAGTGTGATCCGAGCCTCACAGTGACCCTGCTCCTGCCCCAGCCTGGCAGGGACTGAGATATCTGCCTTAAAAATGTTCAGATCTGTTTTTCACTAACCCAGAAATCACACTTTACCCAGTGCTCATGGCATCTGTGCTTCTTCAGATACAGAAATCCAGTCCAACACTTAACTCTCCTTTCCTCTAAGAGGATCCAGAATGTGATATGGAAATCCAGGCAGGAGTTACTGGCATGGATGTGGCATGTGCTAATCAGTGCTGCTCAAGCGCCCAGGATCCCTACCCTGTGTGTTTTCATGGTCACTTTAAGCTCTTTAGAACAGAAACCCTGTCCTTCACATCTTTCTAAACCAACTATCACACCTCCACAATTCCACATAATCTTACCATGTCAAGTGCACAAGCTACAGAGATAAGGATGACAGGCTGCCCTGTTTAGATCTCATTTTCTGTGGATTTGCATCAAACGTCAGCTACTTAAGACTGGATTCATTAAAGGCATTTTGCAGAACACAGTACATTCTTGTCTAAGGGAAGGAATGATAACTATTTTTGAAACAAGTGAAAACCATGCAGAAGTACGTATTTTTAATTATTATATTTAGAATGCTAATATAGTGCTCTTCCAAAATAGCTCTAAAGTATTTTTTTTGTGGAGTCTCAACTTTAATAATTCCTAAAGGTGTCTACTGATAATGTCTATCATCTTGTAACTGTAACTTCTACAATGAACAACGTTCAGCAATTAATTACAAAGTAGTCCAAACTCTCACATTGTTGAATTATTTAGGGTAATAGATGGATTTAGTGACTAGCCAGTAGTTTTCCATCATTTTCTTAGAAAATTATACTGTTGAATGTTTGAAAGAAATTCTTTATAGCATGATTATAACATCTTATGACTAAGAATATTATGACACTAGTATGGAAGTAAATTATTTCACTCAACATGAAATCCACTGAATTTCGACATATGACTGAAGTGTAACAGACTGGCAAATTGAAGTGTGCAATCTCTGCAATCAGATCTTTCTAAGAAAGATGGCTTTTCCAAAATAGCATTTATGCAGCCCTTCTGGCTGCTGCCCAGATCTGGCATACCTAAGTTGTTTCATTTCATAAAGCTGAATTGCTTACAAATCAGATATTTCTCCTGTTACAAACTCAAGGCGAACAGGCTGTGATACAGCTGTGTAAAACAGGCACCACGAACCTGAATCATCCATTAGTCTCTTCTCTTTTATTAAAGATCATCCTATTGAAAAGGAGTTTCTTGTTTTTATGGAAGATAATTATCAAATCAATGGATTTCAGCAGGCTGGGAACTAAGTGGTGTTCCTGGATTATATAGACACCAACAAGTAATCTTAAAACCATTCCTTTTTAGAGCACCTTTCTTTTCTGCCCACCACTTTTAGGTATATGCTTTGTAATTAATGGGTTGACTTGAATTCTATAACAAGAACCTAACATCACCTTTACTTGTTTAACTCCAAGTGACTTAGCTTTAAACCTCCTTTATTCTTTTCAAACAATACAAGCTGAAATTTCTCAGATGATGCTTTTCCATTGCAGAAAGTGGATTCATTGATATTATGACTCATGGAAAACTACAGTATCCACTCGGACTAATAAGGATTAGGGAAAGAACCACTGCTAAGCAATCAGGGCTCACCTTAAAGGTATTTTAAATCTTTATCTACATGAAGGCAACATTCCCTGAACCATATCCCCTTTTTGAGACACTTCTGTGACTATACTGTCCAGTAGGTCAGCAAATCTGTGTGGCCTTGTGTACTTGACTTGTGAATCCTGCAGACACTTTCACAACCATGAAACTGAAGTATTATTAAAAACATGTATTACTACAAAATATATGTTCCTATGCAGAATGCTTCCACAGCATATCTCAAGTTAATTAGTGTGGAAATTAAAACAAGAGTATTTTACTGCAGAACATTTTAATTAAGCTCTAGCTTTAGAGCTTTTTTCCATCTTTGATCCTGCAGCACTTTTTGTTTAGTGGTGGCAATCTGAAGTCAGGGTTGAGACCATCAGGGCAATTACTGGTGTTAGGTACCACTTCCTTCCCAGGGCACAGAAGTGCCAAGCATGTGCTGCACTACCACAAATAGCTCAATCCCAAGCTATCCAAACCCTTTCCTGTCTTACACCAGGCTGGGACAAGCATATCTGAAGACCCTTTTAACAGTCTAACAGCAGTATTTTGGTTGACTGATGAATAAAATATTTGTCAATTTATACATGCAATCACAGGCCAGGGACTTTGGATCTGAAATGCTGTTTAAAAAAAATCCTTAAGAACATGCTTTGTTCCATAAGGTGTTTTTCTTCCTAAACGAAACCCCAGTGTAATTTCCTGTATAATTACCCTTGATGCAATCCTGCCATTGGAGTTTCCCTCAAGGGAAAGAGCTTTGGGTAGACAATGGTAAACATAGGCTGGCTGCAGCGGTGGCAGTGTCCCAAGGGACAGTGCAGCAATTCCAAGAGGCTTTTGGGTAGTGAGATTGGAGTCAGAAAGTTTAAATCTAGAGAAGAAAAGAAACAAAAAAAATATTTATAATAAAATGATTGCATGACAAAGTCAAACACAAGCACAATCCATGAACAATTCAGAAAACAGCTGCCTCACATTCTTAAGGTTTTGTCAAAACAACAATGAGGTAATACAAATTACCACAATTAGAGTGAGGCACATAATGCTTTCCATGTCTAAATTCAAAAAGTTAAATGTACCAGTTTAGCATCTGTGGGCATAAGTTTAACTGGGCTAAAATACCCAGGTGAAAATATTACAGCTTAAGCAAATATTAGAAAGGATTAAAAGATCATGAAGGATTTTTAGACACAGGGATGATCTAGACAGATGTTTAGTAACTAGTAACAATACAACATTATGAAAAGGACATCAGTAGTATTTTACTAAAATATTTCAGCAAGCAATCCAGCAGGATAGCTAACCTTACTACAAAGCCCAAATTCCACCATCAGCAAAAGGAGATTTGCAATATTTGGAATTACTTGAAATTCAATCCAGCCCAGCATAAATCTCCCAGGTCCAACCAAAGAGACCACTCTAAAAAGATCAATACATTCCTCATCTATTAAGTGTTCCTCCAGAGCCTACAAGATGCCATCATTTTCACCAAAAGGGACTCCAGGGTCATTTCCTGGGAAAGAGCCATCACTTTCCCAGGCCTGGCCCAAGCCACACCGTGTTTCATAACTTAAACCCCACATTCTAATCTCTGTCTAGAAACTGAGAGACAGCCAAGACAGGTGAGTGAGTTTAGGTGCTGAGTAATCAAGATAAGATGCAGTACCTGATAAATCAGCTTTATAGTATCACACTGGTTTCAGCTTTCAAACACTGCAAGGTTGAACCTCAGACACAATGTACCACAAGAGCCCCAAGGAGGGGACGAGCAGGACGTTTGCGTCAGAAAGAAAAGGTCACACTCTGCAGCCAAGCAAAGATTGAGGAAAAGTAGTCCAGTCACTTCTGTCACTTCCCCAGCAGCTGCCAAGTATTTAACAGCACTCTTGAAACTGCAAATTTAGGCAGTGACAGATGAAATCTGCTACTTTAATCATATGTGCCACCTGCTTCCCCAGCACAGCATTATGGTACACCTGTCTGACACAGGCACTGCTCCTGCTCACTGAAAGTGAGGTGCTGCAGTGGTAATGGCCACAGTCTTTAATAAGGTCACTCAAAACAGGACATATCTATGGGTGTATGTATATGGATATAAATCCATTTTTTTCAGGTTCTGCATCTTGGCTGAAAGTAAGTGTAATCCTCACAGCCTTGTATAAAATTATTTACAAACCAGTCCTTAAACTGATTTTGCAGTATCACCTTCCCAGTCCCAAACCAAACTTCACTGGCATCTTCAGGAACCACATCCACCCAGCTGGATTCCAGAAATGATTGTGCAAGTCACAAGTGGGTGAGAAAAGGCAGACCTCCTTGTACACTTTTCCTGGCAAAGCAGTGAGGATTTACTCCAGTGGCCAAGGTACAAGAGACCCTTTCCATAACCCCTCTAATCTTCCCACTAGAACTCTTCACTCTTCTGCTTTCTCCTTTGACCTTTAAAACTGAGAATTCCCAAGATAGCATCAACTGTGGGGAGGCACAACACATCCAGATCTGAGAGGATCTGCAGGTTATCATCAGATATTGCTAACTCATGTGATTGCATGATGCAGAGCCAGATGAGCCAAGGGCCACTTTAGAGCAGAGAGCCTGAATTGGGGCAGAACTAAAGCAGCTCAGCTGTCACGCTGTGCTGAAATGGCCAAGGGCTGCTCGCATTTCTTCTGCCTTATGTATAACAAGTCTGCCAGTTTAGGAGTGTGCTGCCTGGCAAGGAGTTGCATTGTTGGCTGATGCATCTGATCTTGCCTCAGGAACTGTATTTCTCATCTCCTATTTCCATTAAAGAGTTTCTCCTGCAAAAAAAAAAGTGTCCTTCTTCGTACAGGCTTCAAGTAAGAAACCATTTATAACCACCACTTGACCTCAGAAATAGTCTTTGGAACTCTGGTTTTTGATATTGGACATTTTTGTTCTAATGCAGCATTTCAAACATAATTTGATTAAATAAATCTTTTAAAATATAAATCCTCGCCCAAGCCTTTGAAGAACTGTTAGAAATGTTCCTCTCACTGCCAGAAAATGCTTTCACTCCTTCTATAATCTGAAGAAAGCAGAACTTTCATACCTTTCAAAAACCTGTAGTAGGTGTTATAGAGGGTCCTCATGGCCAGTTCTTGCAAAGGCAGCACATGATCTGTTTCTGTCCCTATAGATTTCACCTCTGCTGGCAGGAACACAGTTAACTGGCCTGATGAAAAAGAGAGCAGTTTCACCTCTGAAACTTGAATTGGAGAACCACAACTAGAAGGACACAAGACATTTAGAAAGTGGTTAGAAAAAAATAATAAAAGTAACTTCATAGGGAAACCCAGATGACCAACCCAAAGTAAGCCTGATACTGTTCTCCAGTGCAGCACCCCTCAAGGACTCCTTGCAGAAAGCAGTGCAATGGTGGGGTTGACCTTTAAAGGTCCCTTCCCAAACTACTCTGTGATTCTATGTTTCTACAGATTCCCACCTTCTGTGATGTGCTAGACACGGGACATTTGGAGGAATTACTCATCAAATAACATAAAGAAACAAGAACACAATCCCAAGGGGGTGAACCAAGTATGCTACGTGCCCATTACTTTGCCCAAGTGACAAATCTCTTTTAGCCTCTTGTTAGTAAATACTTCACTGAGGGGAGCAGTTTCATACCCAACCGTTTGCTTCCTGTGTCTTGGATCAACCAGCTGAAAACAATCATGGATTTCTCAACTGTAACACGTGAGGGAAACTTCAAAAACTCCCACAAAAAAAAAGATTTTAACTGCCACTGGGTGATTCTGTACTACACCTTTCCCCATCCACAGTTCCCTTGGAGGGCACAGGCTGGGTAGATGAAGTAAAAATAAAAACAACAGCCATGCTGTAGTGGGAAGATATCCTAATAAGTCTATTAGCCTTGCCCTTCCCAAATCATATATAGAAAGGGAAGGTTATTTGGATCCAGGGAGAGAAACTTAGCTTGTAGTAAAAATAATAACTCTTTACGTGATCCCTGTTGCAAGCGATCATACCAGAGAGACACGCATAGGAAAATTCTACTAAGAGGTTGGGGAAGTCAACAGGGGAATTGGAATTGTTTATGACAACTGAAATTTGAAGCCAAGAGCAACTTGTTGGGGCCAGTCCTAACAAATGGAATAGAAACACAAATTTGTCAGCCTTCCCAGATATTAGACCTAAAACGGAGGTAACCACTCTCAACCTTATCAGATGTGAAAGAAATCTCATAGTTCTCCTCTGACAACAAAGAATCTCATCTCTTCTGATTAAAGGAGAAACAGCCCAGAGAAGCAAACAAAAAAGAGCAGCATCAAACAGCAAGCAAGTCAATAAGCCTCTTGCTAAATATTTAATACTCTCCCACAACCCATTAGTGAGGTTAAAATAAGTGGGAATTCAGAGATTTCAGTATTCCAATGTTCCACTCTCAATGAGTTAGTTATCTCAATAAATAAATAAATCCGTAATGCTGCAATTTCAAGCTGAATAACCCCTTACCAACCTCACTAAGGAACAAACCTAAGAACTCACTACAGTCTCTGCAGTTCAGAGCTGGGACATTTGGTCTACTTTATGTAAAGGGTGAGGCTATTAATGCCACACACAAAATCCATGGAGGTTAAAAACTGGAATAGAGGATGGTCTAAACAGCTGAGGAAAAATAGGAGCTGCAGAAGAAGCCTGGTGGATAAATAAGTGATGGGCAAAAAAAGCTGAGACCACCTATTGGCTGCCTTCAACAAGACTGACAAATCCCTAACTGGGGACTCTGAAATCCAATCTGCAAAAAATAAGATCAAAATTTATTTTGAGTGCTGAGATCATCACCTCTCATATAAAAGACTTTTTTCAGTCAGTCTGACTGCAGGATGCCCAGACAGAGATTCAATACTTACACAAGGCAATTTATATTCTATTTTCAGAAATCAAGCTTTATGTCAGTAACAGCAGCTTGTCAGATTTTATTCTCCAGTGGAGGGCCAGACAGAGCACTAAAGCCTGGATCTTCAACCCTTGCCTGACCCATGAAAACCTTAGCCTAGTTGCTAATGCTTTCTTGGAAAGAATACAGAAATTCTTCACATGACCATTATTACACAATTTTAAAGTCTCTCAGCACATTATCAAATAAAACCTTTGGTTTGTTAACAATATATATGTGCTCTCCCCATACTGAAATTTTTTCTTTAAAATAATCTGTAATGTTTCAAGACGGTTTCACAAAAAAAGACAAAGATCTGTTTGGTGAACAAATGCAGACATTATTTTTCTTGCTAGAAATTATCTCTTTTTACCATTCATTATTAAGGAAGGAAATCACTTTTCATTCCACAGAGGCATTACATGAATCAATTTCATTGCAACACTTGCAACTCCTTTAGTCTCTTCTATACTAGATTTTTAAGATTAGATTCTATAATTCTGTACTGGATTTATAATATCAGAGATACTAGCAGGTGGTCTCACCAGCACTGTACATGTAAGAATAGCAAAAAGAACTGGTAGGATCTTCACAAAGGTCAGTGCAAAGATAAAATTATTTTAACTGGGTATAAGATGAAAACTTAAAACTTAAAAAAAAAACCCAACAACACGGTGGTTGTATAAAACTACCTAAACAGTTGGACCATCTCATGCATTATCATTACTGGTTTTGGTCACAATCAACACAATTCTGTTAAAATTAAGGTCAATTTAATGTCTGCCTAACAATTTACAATCAGTTCTGAAAGAAAAAAGGCTAGAATTTATCTTTTCTGAAAAACAAAATTAGTAAAAGCTTGCAAGTCACACAGTTCAGCAGAACTGTAATCCAACTGCAAGTATTTAAATATCACCAACCAGCTGACACTGGAATATTAGAAAAACCTTAAAATGCCAAGACTCAGCATCTCCCATATTGCAGGAGAGTGCAGGCTGCAGAGAGGGAATTTATATTTAATGCGAGATCTGCTGAGAGTGAGCATACCAGAAATTTATAATTAGATGGTAATGGGGACAATCCTCTTCTGATCAGTTTTACACCAGTAAGGCTCCATTCATCAGGGGTGCTGATCCTAATTCATGCCAGTGTCAGGGCAGAAAGAATTAAGCCAGTGTCCTACACAGACCACTTTTTTCTTGCATTCTAACCACAAACATGAGACAGCCCAGGATATTTTTAAATCCACATGTAAAAATAAACCTGTCAATCCATAATTCCTAAAAAAAGTCACTTTAGTTAGTAGGTACCAAGACCTACAAGAAGCTGATACTGGGATGTAAAATGAGTGAAGGAGCTGCACATGATTTTTCAAGATATCACCCATAACGTACAGAAATGTGAGCACTTAGAAACAAAGAGATGCTGCAATATATCAAAAATTTCTTTGTTCATTCTCTAGTTCTGAAAACTGTGAAGCCTACACTTCTGGCCAACTTTTAAATTCAGCTCTAGGCCTTACATTATTATTACAAATTCTTTCAGAGTAACTTCACTGTTATGCCTTAACACTAAAATAGTTAAAAGTCAGCAATTAACACAGAAGATTTATTACAAAAATAAAACAGAGCTGGGAGCTGCAGTAATCCCCCTCCAAGGAACAACAGCTCTGAATCAATCACAGACATACAAAAAATAGTGAGGAGAAGTTTTACAAGGACAGGTACACAAGACATCTGAATTAATTCATACCTACCCACTGCAACCAATGACTTTATTATACAGATAAGATGGGAGGCCTTTCAGGTGACTATTGTTATCCACATAAACATACTGGAGCTCTCGAGAACGACCTAAATCTGGGTTTAGAAAACAAGAAAAGTCAAGAGGAGAAAGGATGACATAGTGACAATTATAAGCAAAGCAATTCTCTTTAATTATAAATAAGTTAATCAGACTCAGTGTAAGCAAACATAAATTAGTACTTCTCAGTTGTAAAATTTCAGCCAATGGTTTTATTATGGATGAGCTGAAAAGCTGTTTAGAAGCAAGCATTTCAAATTACTAAAATAAAACAAAGCCCCCTTTCAGAAGCCCTGAAAATCCCATTATAAATAATTAAATTTTAACATTGACAAACTCTGAAGTCAGTTGGAAGAAGCAAAGGGACAATTGATTTCAAATCCTCAGTGCATACTTCAAGTTCATAAGGTCAAACCTGCTTTCATTAACTGGCCTCATGTCAGTGAAATCACAGCTTCTCTATCTTTGGGAAAGTGGGCAAGACAGACACAAGAATGTGCTCTGTCCCCCTCTTTCTTTTCTCCAAGGAGGGATCCTTGCTGGGATTCATTAGCCTTAACCAAATACAAGTGCAGTCATTCAGACTCGTGCAGTGAATTACAGAGCCCAAGAAAACACAAAGCATTAAAGTGGAGAATGTTAGACATCAAAAGTTGTGGCTGCAGTAAATGATCAATACTTCTGGAGGTGTGCTGCTTGCATTATTGCTCTTAAAATATTCATGGCTGGTAGTCAAAAGAAGTAAGTACAGCATGATTAAGTAATGCCTTTGTGGACTAGAAATCTATAAAGATACCTCTAGGTAGAAGCATATCAGTATGGAACTATTTTATTTTGCTTAGAAAATTAAAATTAAATGGAAAAATTTAGGTTTCTTGGAAGAATTCTCAGAAATGAGAATTTTGCTTATTAGCAAGGTCTAGTCAGTGGTAAAACTGTCTGGCATTAAAAAGAAGTGAAAAACCTTAATGAGAGACATTTCAAAAGACACCAAACTGAACTAAACAGAAAGGTCTGAAAGAGTTTTGGCTAGCAAGAAAGCTGATGTGTGGGATTGCTGGGCAGCCCAACTCATTTGTCACTGCCATGCCCTTTGAGACACTGGGGCAGGAAAAGGTTTCTGTGTTTAGTGCAAAGCACAAACCAGGAGAGCAGAGTCTGGAAGCCTCCTCCCAGGATGGAAGAGCTGTGACCCAGACAAACTGCATCATGAAAAACACAAATAATCTGTGTGCCTCCCAACTTGTTAAACTTTCATGAGTACCTCAGAGAGACTAGGATAAACAAGCATTTGGATGCATCAGCCATAAGTAAGACAATACCAATATTGAGTAATTCTGATTACCCATCTTTATCAGTTACCTTGGCTGGCAGAAATATAAGGGTAACTGGAGAAATGGGCACAGCTCTCTCTCCCTTGCATTCATGACCAAGAACAGAATAAAAATTAAAACCATTTCCATGACATTTCTATTCAGAAATCCTATTTGGAATACTGATCTCATTGCCTACTACAACAATAGGTAATGCAAACCCCTCCTTATTACTGAATAGTTTAATTGTACACAAGAGCTCTAAATACACTTAGTGCAGATATTTTGAGTGATCCCTCCCCAAACGTGTGTCCATCTTAAAATATACTGAATGTCTTCAGCTGTCACCCACTTGAATGGCAGCTGTGAGCACCAGAAACCTTAAAAGTTCGTGCTGAGGAGTGACATTATCAAATCTTTGATATAAAGAACAAGTGATGATACCAACAGAAAACGAAGAGATTAATTTTTTTTTTTTTAATAGAAGTGTTAACAGAGAAAAAAATGAGTTTGGGGTTTTTTTCCCCTTTAACACAGGCCCTTGCTTTACAACTGTCTGGAAGTTTCAGGGACCATAATCTGGGCTTTGTTCAAAGCAGAGTCACTGGACATCAAGGGACATATTCAACCATCACATGCTGCTTTGACCCTGTCCCAGAGACATTCCAGCTCCCAGAACTATCTGCTGCATCCATCAAGTGTCCTGCCTCAGGATGGGAGCACAAATCCCTCTGCTGACTGATGGGCACTGCTGGAGATGCTGCTGAGCATCACCCCAACGAGATGATTTATTTGGGCTCAGTAATGCAGGGCTGAAAATAGTTTAGTGAAGTTCTGGGATATTTTTAGATGAAACAAAACCCCATTGTTATCCTACAATGAATAAAAATACTGCAACATGGAGGCAATGTAACACCATAAAATATTGTAAGGCTGGTGAGGAATCAGCCAGTACAATTTACAGCAGGTAGCAGGTGGATGGGACATGTAATGTTCAGAGAATGTTCCCTTGTGTTGCAGAAGCCACTTGGACTAAAAACAGCAGAAAACTATGGGTTGCTGGGATAGCTTGAATGTGCTACTGTTTAACTTATTAATTTAGAGAATGGCAGAAAATTTTTAAAAGAGGCTCATCTTGCTGGTTTCTACACAGATGTATGCAAATGGGCTGAAAATCAGGCAAGTCAAAAAAAGCCCTAAAGCTGTTCTTTTCATATGCACTGAGAGGGGGGAGTGAGGCTGCATCTCATCTCTTCCCTCTGTCTTTATCTTATGCTATGTTTAGATTCTAAGTTCTGAGTTGACTGCATTTCCTAGGTAATTAAAGCAAATTTTTGGATGTTAGACAAAATATCTCAGTAGGAAAAATTCAATTCCCAAAGCCAAATAGCCTGTAACTATAAATGTTCCTTTGATAGAGTTTCTTTGCATTAAATAACCAAGCATCTTCTAGACTCCAAAAGATTTTTTCCCAGTTTCAAATATTATCCATAAAGTTTAAATTTAAATAAATCATCACTTTGAAAGGATCTTTGTATCCCATCCACATTAATTTTTATGTCTTGTATCAGCCAACAAATATTGTTAAAAGTTCTCTAAAAACCATGCTTCTGAAGAACTCTGTGCAATAAGGAAGCTGCCCATCTCTGAAAAGGCTAAAGCTACAAAGAAGGTTTTCATGTGGCTTTTGCAAGCACTGTACTGTGTCTAAAACATTTCCACTTTCCTCCTTCCAGCCTCCCAGATCAAAGACCTCTCTCCCAGAAATGACCAAATGCCATGAGTCCTGAACAAACCCCAATTCTACTTTTTTTCTTTTTCTCCCTCTTTTTTTTTTCCTTTTTTTTTTTTTTTAACCTCAGGGCCCTGGCATATGCATTCCACATGGCTGAAGATGGAACAAAAGCTCTTGTGTGGCTGCACTGATGCTCTTTTAACCATACTGTGAGGGCAAGGACACAAAAGCAGCATATACTGAGGTAGAATAAGACCTTTGTTTACTCTGCACTGATAATTACTAGACCCATTTTCTAAAAAAAAGTGCACATAAATCCTCAAATAAAGTGATATAATACTGAATATTTGCTGTCATAACATCCCCTGTGCTGCCAGTACACTTGAGAATTTATGGCCTATTTTAATTCTATTTGTACTTTATAACATAAATGATTTTTATTTTTGCAGTGTCATCAGATTCACATTTCTGCTTGCGGTGGAATTTGTTTTCAGGCATTGGAGCATTCGCTAATGGTAAAAATTTTAAGTTAATTTTCTGTCAAAAGATAATTTATGTTGTAAGTAGATTGATATACAATGATCAGCAGATTTCTAAGACCATTTACTAAGGGAGCATGAAGTTACCATGACAATAATATAACTGTTCAGGATGCAGCTTCCAGTTCAACTTATACATATAATTTTTGGAGTTGTTCTTAAAAATTACATTATTAGGAAGGCCCAAAGGCTGAGATCCATAGTGTCTCATTTCTTTTAGTATAAACTGAAATACTCACAGCTGAAAAACGATTTTTATATAACACTGGCAAATCCAAGACTTAGGTGTATTCTGCAGAACAAATTACTAATATTCACTATTGTTTACCCATCTGCTTGTTTATGAACCAGTTCTGAAAGTCAGGGAGTGGGATCAGGTATTTTTACTTTATTTTAGAACTGATTAAAACAGTGTCACACTGTTTTTCCTGAGGCACATGTGCCTGCAAACTTAAAGAATGTGCAGGGCAAAGAAACTCCTGATCCCTGTCCAGCAGGGCTGTGCTGCTGCTGGAATAAACCTTGCACTCATCAATCCAGGAACAGGAAAATGCAGATTTCCACTACACTTAACAAGAGGCTCTGCTGGCAGCTACAAGGGACAAACTTGGACAAAGCAGAATGGATTTCTGGTTGACATAGTAGATGTCACCTACCGTGTGAAATAAATTAAGTAAGTAATGCTTTAAAAAGCATTAAGCCATTTGTTTTAAAAGTATTTCTTTTAACATGGACATGTCTAATAAAAAAAGAAAAAACCTCAACCATTCTGTCAGGAGATGAATAAATTCTCTGCTTTTCAACACAGCTCCCTAATTGCCAAAAATTGTTTTCACAATATTTGCTTGACTATCACTTGGAAGTATTTCTGTAGTATTTTTCACCATTACTTAGCATCCTTACTCAGTCATTAACTGGTAAAGTGAAGTTGGATGTAAGAATACACACAAAAGCCCCACCAGCCAACATGTGCAGCAAGCAGAAGTAATGCTACAATTATGCCTTAACTTCAGCAATATTCCAAGAAAAATATTTTCCCAAGCAACAGAAGATAGATTTAATCTTTTTGCTTTTCAATGCACTCTCTCTTCTACTTTATTTCATCACATCTTGACCACTCTGAAGCCTTCTGATTCTTCAGAGGAAGGATTAAACATTTACATTTATACTGTGCTGCTTTTCCTCTGAACTCTAGGATTTATGATTCAGTTTCATATCCACAGATAGCAAATTATCTCCAAATGTTCACCAGTGAGTCACTATTAAGAACTACTGAACAAGGTCAATTGACAGTCTTTGATGTTTCCCGTTATTTTAAAAGTTCCTTTTGAATGTTTTGAATTTGAGTCTAAAAATAAAGAAAAAAGAAGGTGTGTCATTATATTAGAGATTTATTTCCTCCTTTTGAACTTAAAACACTTTGGCAGATCTATGGCTCATCCAGGTCATGGCTCGCTCACAGATAAGCTACAAGTGCAAAAGTAGCAAAAACTTTTATCCTTTAAAATTTCACATCTCATCTTACTGAATTTTTGCAAAATTAAAACTGCTTAACTTCCTCTCTCATGGGAGTTAAAAATATTTGCCAAAATAAGGGAAGGCAATTTGCTTGGTTTAGTACTGTGGAATCTGGATGATGCATCCTGGAACTCGTTTTCTCATTTATATAATGACATATGCTAGGACATAACTGCAACACTTTGTCTGGAGACATTACTTGCACTTACTTTCCAGTAATATAAACTAAGGTGATAAAAAATTCAGGAAGATCAGTAAGCTCTTTAAAAACTGAACTGCTAGTACTGAAAAGATTAAGTTAAACCTATACAATGTAATTAATTTAGAAATTATGATCTCATTTTTAGCCATCTCAATTTCCAGCTTCTTTCCAATGTGATTATCATAACTTAATCTGCACCTAATTAACACCAAACTCTGTATTCTAGAAAAACTATTAATGGTTTTTCAGATAGCAGGACAGCTCTGCATGTGTGTCTGTATCTAGCTGAGATTACCCGGTGGCAGGGCTGAAAAGTGACAAGTTCAGAGAAGAGGATTTGCGTTTCCCAAAGGGAACACACAGTGACTGCCCCTAACAAACCCCCACACACTGCCTGCACCTCCTACTCCTGACCTGCTTCTACTCTTCCAAACTTTCAAAGGGTTGAGCAAAAGGCACATCAATTCCTCCCTGGGCTACTACTGTGGAAATTTTGATGGATGCCTGTACACAGCACAAACTAAACCTGCACTGGATTATGTGGTTCTTACACTCCTAATGCTGAAAAGTAATTTATATGGAGTTACTGGGACTCCACAACAAGTTTTAAACCCTAGTTGAAGAATCTTAGTTAAATCATCAGATCCAGCAAACAGAAACAGATCATTACCCAAAGTGGTGGAACTCAGATTACACAGTACTATATTTAAGCACATCATTTAAACTTTTTCCCCTCGGTTAGCTAAAAATAAAGCAAATTTGATAGCTGCCTTATTGCTTTAAAAAAAACCATGAAACCTTAACCTGCATTTTTTAAATTAACATATTTTCCAACAATATGATCCCTGTGACAGCTCCATAAACAGAGTCTGCAGGGACCACCAAAGAAACTCGCTTGTTGCTTTGTTTTTCACGTCTGGGGGCAGGCAGTTTGCTTTGCTGTGTGTGACCCCCCCAGGTGGGGACTCACCCAGGGGCAGGAATGCCAGGCGGTTGCCAGCCATGGAGAGCTCGTTGAGGCTGGGCAGCTGGCACAGGTGGCGGGGCACAGACCACAGGTGGTTCCTGTCTGCAGTCAGGTACTGCAGAGAAAGGCACATGTGCAGCCTCTCGGGTAACGTCATCAGGCGGTTCGTGGAGATGTCCAGAGTCTGCAGCTCCCGCAGGTCTCCAACCTCTGCACAACAGGCACGGAGAATTACAACTGCTTGCACAAAAATCACCACCAAAATATCCCCTCACATAAATTAAAAATCAAATTCATCAGCGGTGCTGCTTTTCTGTAAGATACTGTTCTAGCAATACACGCTGAAAACTGATACTCATAATTAACATCATCTTGATGTATCAAAAAGGTTTGGAATATGAAGATGATGGAGATTATCAGTATCAGCCAGGAACCTCTCAAGTATGAGATCTTTCATAGAGCATTCCTGAATTGTGACAATTACTGCTGTCAAAATAGCAAGCATTTTCCTAGACCTACATCAGAATGAGGGGGGAAAAAAACTCCAAACCAAAATGCAAACAAAAAAGCTTGCTGATATTGAGGGTGTTTTGCACAGCCCTAAACTCAGGAAAATTCAAATGAAGTTTTTTTTTTTTAAATAAAAATATTGAGGATGCAATGAGTGATTACTTAATATTCTCTTGCAACAAGAGTTACAAACACATGCATAGCACTTCTTGCTTAGTGACAGTCTTTCACCCAGCATACTTGGGAAAAACAGCTCTGTCTTCATGATACAGTTCAGAAGGGCTAGTTTAAATTAGAAAATAAATTTCTTGATTAATCAGTGATATGTTATATTGTAGGAAGATATTTCACTAAGTTCTAATCTACAGCTGAAATAATTACAGCTTCTAGAAGTTGGGGTTTTTATCATTTCAATAATTTAAAAGTAGATTTCATGTTTCAAAGAGTATTGAATAATTTCTTTAGGTAGGTAACAAACTAAATTCTTAAAAGTGTGTAAGACATGATCACACAAGCAGCCTCACTTGTGCAACAGTGTGTTTCCTTGTGTCTGTGAAACAGGATGCAGGACTGACTGACAAATAGATTCAAAATATATTAAGCAGCTCTGCAGGGTACCTCATTGTTTATTTAGTTATTCTTTTACAGTTACTCTAAAAACTGGATAATTCTATCTATTATTTCCCTCAAACAGGAAGAAACCATAACATTTCCCCCCAGACATAGGGAATAATTTTGCTTTGTTTTTAAATACTTCACAGCAATGGACCCAACTCATTAAGTGTTCAGTGCCCCTAAAACTTGCTACAGTTCTCAGCATCTTGCAAACCCAAATGTACTTTGCTCTCAGCTGAATGAAACCAGCTTTTGCATCTGAGAGCTGCTAAAACAAGATCACTAGAATTTTCTACACTGAAAACACCAGACAATCTACACAATCCACAATCTGTACAATTTACAGCTCTATCACCCAGATTTTTTACAAAGATATAAATAGGGTAACACTGTTTAAGTTAAAGTTAAACAGAACCTGTTGTGCCCTTAAGCTCTCTACTGCAAGAGCTAGAAAATTCACTGTTCCCTGAGCTCTGAGCTTGCACCTTGTATACTACACACAAAGAAGGAAACAAAACACTGGGTTAACCCAAGCTGTCTTCCACACAATGGGAAAAAGAAGTTCACCTTGGGAGAAACTGCTATAAATGTTACTTTCAAGACTGGAAACATGAAAAGCAAAGAAAGGGAAGTTGTAATTCAATATTAGAGATTTTCACACAAGTAATCATTAAACAAAATGCATGTGCACGTTTAGAGGGAGTTTCTGCCCACTGCAAACAATCCCAGCATCAACTACAATAAAGACTCACAAACACAGTTTATGCATCCTTTTAGAAATATTACTGACAGAAGCAGCTACTGTACACAGATGATCACATTCTTCAAACCTCTTAGCTTTGATGTCAACAGGAATAAGCTTTACTTGAAAAGGTTGGGTTTTTTTTTTTACTACAGGATTGAAAATGCCTTTCCAGGCATCAAAATGACAAAAGCAAAATAATCGCTACTAAATAGCACAAGACTACTGTGCAAAAAGAACTGCAGCAGATCTCATTTCAAAAGAGTTTTATATTCATTGCAAAGCCATATGCTTGAAAACAGTGACAGGAAAAGAGCCACCTACATTCAGCCAAACCACTGACCACATGCAGTCAATAATAGGCCCAGCTATTTTCATGCACTAACCTTTTTCTCTGCCACTAAAAACAGTTCTCTAGTTCAGTTTAGGTCCAAAATCCCATAAATGTTACGGTTGGCAAAGCTGGCAGAGTTTCAAAGGCATTGCTAGAATGATATGTTTCAAATCTAAGAGGAAATAAAAGTATTCTCACTTTATCCTTCATCCAAAAAACACATACCCAAAATTCATCCTCTCTACCTTAATCTCCCAATGCATACCAGATGTAAACATCCACTTTCAACATCTAGTGCCACATGTTGCACAAACACCCACCGACCCACAATGAAGTTTAAGACCAAGGCAAACAACAAAGTGCCATCATATTAAGGATATAACCCTCATATTAAAGATATAACCCCCAGATTCCACACCGTAGTGCTCAAAGCTCAGTTTGAAGAACATGCTCAGACACTTACTAATGACACTAAATTGGTTTTCATCTCATTAAAGCAAAGGGAAACAGTTAAGAGGAATAACACAAATATAAACAGTCCATTAATAAGTTTTTCAAGCTTTTAGGTACTAAATGCTATGATCCTTGTTTTTCAAGTCTTGCAGCATAAATACTGCAGGAAGCCTTGGCTAACAAACACAGTGGAAGACTTGCAAATCTCTCTTGCTGTCAGCTCATCAAGCACTAGGATATACCAGAGGTGAACTTTAGAAATTTTCAGCAGATCCAGAAAACAAAATGGCTATTCCCAAACAAAAGAAGCTGACAAAGGGATTTTCAGAGATTCCCCCAGCACCCCCAAGGGTAAGAAAGAGACAAGCATTATACATCACCATTAGACCACATTGAGGAGTTCCAATTACATTTAAATAAAATTCATAAAAGTGTAATTTAGAATTTATATTAGCTCTAGGATTAACACTGAAATCAAAATCAATGCGGCAGAGCACTGAGCCCCATTCTGATATCAGAAACCAAAAAAATCCCCGAACTCCTCGGTAGCTCTGCTGCCCCCCCAGCTCAGAAGGACACAGATTTGTGGAGACAGACAGAGCCCAAACGTGACGTTCCCGTGCTGGTTTGTGTCCATCTGCAGGGACTGCTGCTGGCACATGGAGCTGGGCAATCCCAGATGGTCCCAATGTGCTCGCAGTGCACACACGAGGGGCTGACAGACCGGCAATCCAACACTCCCTGACCCCTCCTCCAGCCTCTGCGGGGCCCTGCAGTGCAGCAGACCCACACAGACCCACACAGGCTGTGTCCCCAAAGCTGCCAGCCTTGGGGAATTAATTTTATCCTTTTCTCCTCAATAATATGCAGATTCAGAAAGGATCACTCAGCTCCAAAAAGCCTTTCAATCTGTTTTAAGAGCTCTCTCAACTACTTGGAAAAATGGAAAAGTGAATTGTCCTCTGTGTGTTGGGATTTTCAACAAAAAGTTGCCAAATAGATCTGTCCCCCAAGACAATGAAAAAAGAAACATCAACATAACTTTAATATTTTTCTTTTAAAAAGTGAAACCTGGAAAGGATTTTAGGAAATGTCCAAAATCATTGACCTAACAAAATGGACTGTGTTTCTATAAACATAACTAGAATCAAGAAAAAAAAATCTATTTCTGATTCAGATGGTCTAAATGCCAGTTTTTAAAATTAATTCCCATGGTTTTACGTGAAGAAGAAGAAAAAAAAAACCATCTGGAAATAAGCAGCCTATACAACATAGAGTAATTGCCAAAGGCAATTCAAACTTCCTTAATCTTTCTGAGGGTACAGGCCTCACCAGCTGCATGACCCAAAAATAACCAACAGTTTTTCTTTACATTTCAAGAGTAATCCCACCTTTCCCTGATGGGCCATAAACCAAAATTTCATCCAAAGATATATGAAACACATACACAGTTGGATTTGAGTGTATGGGAGGGAAGGGTTTACTTTAAACCTGAGTCCTTATATCCCAGTAAAGTTAAAAGAGGGACAGGAAAGGGCTACAGACCTACCTGCATGAGAATGCACCTCAAAGCAGGATATTAAGGGGAAGTACAGAACCTACAAGGAATGGAAAAAGGGACTGATCAGCAAAGAGAGCTGGCACTTAGAGGTCAGGCTGCAGAGGTTAAATGCAAACTGCCAGGAGGCCAGGAAAATGGGAACTCACAGACAAACAAATGGTTTCTCAACAAGAAATTAAGAGCAAGAAATGAAGAACTGATGTCAACAAGGAGTAGAAATTAGGAGGACAAACCAAATAATAAATTAGCTTTTTTGCACAATTTTTTCCTGTAAGAATAATGCTGTGTATGGGGACAGAGACAGAATACCTCATGGGAACAAGGACAAAGCACTGCAAATTACCACATCCATTACTAAAATGAAATGAGGCTGCTTAAAAAAATTTCCATCCCAGAATACTGAAGAAAAAAAAAAAAAGGGTTATATATCAAAATTGCAGATTCAGCCACGAGGATTCTCAATGAATAGGACATTTTCTGGGATAGCAGCCTAGGGTTGGAGAAGAAATGTGGAACCTGTGTTCAAAAAAGCCCTGTTAATGTGAGCTCAGTGCTCCTCAGCATCTCAGAACAACAAGAGGAAAGAGCACCCAAGAGTAACCAGTGACTGGAACATAAACAGAAAGCAGAATGGAAATGCAGCCCAGATCTTCTCAAATGTAAATCATATCATACTGGTTTATCTTTGATGAAATTTCTTGGTTAATGGTAACACAGGAGTTTCACACCTCATGGTAAATTACTGGGATGGAGAAAATATTATTAGTGGTGGTGTTCCTCAAGGGTCTACACTTTGTTTAGCCTTCCCATTTTGCACCTGGGTAAAAAATAATAATTAGGTTTCAGGTTGCTGTCAGCCCAAGTATTTAAAGTAGTAGTAGTGTGGTAGAGAACCAAATTATCATACAGGAGGAAAAGCAAGAACTTCTAGACTTAAGGGATAGAAGTGGAAAGAAAAATAACCAAAAAATCGTAATAAAAAGGAACAGAAAATC